AAGCTTTGGAAATGGTTAATATTCTACTGCTTCTTCATCTCATTTTTCGAAGCTGGTAGAGAAGCAATGGCCATGGGATGTGTCAGATGTTGGTATCTCTTTCAAGGAAGGGAAGAAGGCTTTTATTGATAAAATTGTGAGTCTTGAAAATGGTTTGGAGGTAGGAAGGGAAGGGTGATATGAGGGTTTGTAGGGAATATTTTTGGTGTTTGGTTTTGAAGTCGGTATATGTAGAAATTTAGTATCCTTACTTGGAACATTAGGTTTAGGGAGGAGGGAAAAATTTTAGTAGTGGCAAGGCAAGTTAAGAAGTTAAACCTATTAGAATTTTATTCAAGAATCTAAACTTGATCAGTGTCATTGTCATCATAAGGAGGATTGGAGGAAATTTGCTGAAGGGAGTGGTGGTTTCTCCTGCACAGGGGTTAAGGGTGGATTGATTAGTATGTGGAATGAAAACGTTTTCAATGTCACTAACCATGTTCATAGCGGTTTATCGCATTAGTGGGAATTTTTTTAATGGCCAAAAGAGTTTGTCTTCATTATTTATGACCTGTTATTGAAGCTGAAATGAGGAATTTTTTGGGGAGCTGCTGAGTTATGTTAATTGACGAATTTGTCATTTGTATGGGGGTGATTTCAATGTGTATATGTTCCGGAAGAAAAGCAAGGGAGATCACAAAATTGGCATGCTATTGAAACTCTTAGATCATTTATACAACAAGCTAACCTTATGGATCTGCCTATGTCAGGAAACTTTCACCTGGTGCAGTAACAGAGAGTTGTCAACATGGGTTAGACTAGATCGATTTCTAATTTGTGGCAGATTTTTGAACAGCTTTCCTAGGATTTCACAATGCCTTTACCAAAATCAATTTCAGATCATAATCCGGTTTTGTTGGAGGATGTTAGTCACAATTGGGGCCCCAAACCCTTTAGGCTTTTTAATTTTCTGTTAGAGGAGAAAGGGTTTGATGATTTGGTTTAAGGTTGTGGGTTGATGAGAAGAAGAGAATAGAGGGGGGATTTTCAGGTTGTTACAAATGCGAAGAAGAAGATCAAAATTGGCCTGGCAGCAGTCTTTAGGGCTGGCAGACTCTATTTTGCTGCTTGAAGTGAAAATAAACGAATTGGATTTAAAGTCACAAGGTGGAATGTTGTCTAAGGGGAATGGGATCAGTTGATTGAATTCAAAAATGAGCTGTGGAGATTGTAAGGATCGAGGAAAGCATTTGGTGGCAGAATTCAAGAAATAGATGGATAAAAACGGAGACAAAATACGAGTTTTTTCACCTTACTACTATGAAAAGAAATAGTGTCAATACCATTCATTCTTTGAAAATTGAAGTGTGGTAATTTCGGATCCAGTTAAGATAAAAAACAATATTTATGAGTTTTTCAGACTGCATACAACACAAAAGCAGCTTTTGAGGTTGAGGGTCTAGATTTGATTTTATGAAAATTTCAGTAGTTCAAAGGGCTAATCTGGAGGAGGAATTTACAGAGCAAGAAGTGTGGAATGCAATTTCTTCTTCAGATAGTGCTAAAGCTCCCAGTCCGGATGGTTTACCATGGGTTTTTATAAGAAACTGGAATCATTTGAAGGAGCAGATTATGGAGTTTTTTTCAGATTTCTTGAAGGAAAGAGTGGGTACACGGGGTTAACCACGCTTTATTACCTTGATCCCAAAGAAAGGTAATCCGGAGAGTATAGAAGACTATAGACCCATTAGTCTTGTGGGCAGCCTATATAAAATTCTATCAAAAGTGCTTTCAAAGAGACTTATTTCTTGTGTCAAAGATATTATCAGTCCTAATCAGTTTGCATTTATTCCGGGGAGACAATTGTTGGAATGTGCTTGTGGCCAATGAAGGAATTGACAATTGGAGGAAACAAGGGCTTAAAGGGTTGTCTTTAAAGTAGACTTCAGCAGAGCGTATGACACAGTGGAATGGCAGATTGTTATAAGATTATTGAAAGATGGGTTTTGGTGACAAGTGGTGTTCTTGGATCACACAATGTATTTCCACAGCTTCTATATCGGTCCTAGTCAATGGGTCCCCTAGAAGAATTTCTTATTGATAAAGGATTAAGGCAAGGATGTAGCCTCTCCTATTCTGTTCAATGTTGTTGGGGAATTGCTTCACAGATGCTTACAAAAGCAGTGGATTTGGGTCTGTTTCAAGGGTTTTCGTTCGGAAATGATCAAAATTCCTTTAATTTATCACATCTACAGTTTGCGCACGATTTAATTATATTCTGTCGAGCCTCTATTACCCAGATCAAGAATGTTAGAAGAGTTTTGAGGATCTTTAGCCTAATGACGGGGCTCCATCTCAATTTAGCCAAAAGTAAACTTTATGGTATTAATATGGAGAATGACTTACTTGAAGAATGGGCGAGGGATTTGGTTGTTCTATTGGCTCTTTCCCGACAGTTTTTAGGCCTCACTTTGGTGCAAAAGAATTCAGAGAAGTTGTGGGAGCCGGTCATAGAGAATTTTAGTAGAAAATTGGCGGGGTGGAAAGCTTCATCTTTATCCATAGCTGGCAGATTGGTGCTTATAAAGTCGGTACTTTCTTCTTTACCCATTTTTTACCTATCTATTTTCAAGATGCCATCTACTGTTTCTCAACAGTTAAATTCTTTGATGTCGAATTTTCTTTGGGGTGGAGGGGCGAGAAGAAGAGAATGCATTGGGTTAGTTGGAAAAATTTGTAAGCCGTTGAATGGTGGAGGCTTAGGAGTTGATTTGAATCTTACCAATCGAGCGTTGTTGGGGAAGTGGGTATGGAAGTTTGCAAATGAGAAAGACTCGATATGGAAGAAATTCTTTTGTAGTAAACATAATGTGAGTTGTCATTCCTTGAATATCACTAAGGCCCTTTCTCATAAAGACTCGTGGATTTGGAGGGGAATTGTCAATAACTTCTCAAAGAATGACTTCATTGGAGGGTGCCTTAGATCTCATGCAAAAATACAAATAGGGAATGGAAAATCTGTCTCTTTTTGGAAGGATACTTGGCTTGGGGTTTGTCCATTAAAAATTCTTTTTCCTAGGATTTTTGCACTTTCTACTAACAAAGGTGGGAATGTGGCTGATTTTGGTAGTTTTGACTTGAATGGATGGGAATGGAATATTAAAACGAGGAATCTATGTGATTGGGAAGTGTTGCAGTTGGTTGAGTTATTGAACAACCTTAAAGACATTAAATTGATTGAATCTTTGGAGGATTACCTGCTGTGGGATGGCTTGGGGGACGGGCTGTTTTCTGTCAAAGAGTGCAGGAAATCTCTAGAGACTGTTTATGAGGATACATTTCAGTGGAGAAACTGTGTATGGTTGGGATTAGTCCCTCCTAGAATGGAGACTTTCCTTTGGCAGCTATCTCATCAAAAAGTTGCTGTTAGGATGGAATTGATGAAAATGGGGTTACTATTGGGGAGAATACTAACTGCCCTTTGTGCAACCTGTGTGATGAATCAGTCCAGCATCTTTTTTTGTTCTGTCAAGTTTCGTGGGAGCTGTGGAATAAATTAATTTGTTATTGGGGTATAAGTCTAGCTTTTCCAGTTGACCCTCCTTCCTTACTTAGTTCTTGGTCTGATTTGAGGCCTTCTTCGGTTATTTGGAAGTTTATTCCAGGTGTAGTGCTATGGTCAATTTGGAGAATCAGAAATGAAATTATCTTTGATAATGGTAAACTAGACAAGCTTTCACTGTTTTTCACTGTTTGCTTAAGGCTAGCAAGATGGTTTCTAGCAAAATATCCTCTTTCCTATATTAAGGTGGATTCTTTAATTGGTGATCCTTCCTTGGCAGATAGTATCTCTGCTTCTAAGGAACTACTCAGACCTGGGTGCTGGTGGATTCCTCCTCCAGTAGATTTTTTTAAATTGAATGTGGATGGGGCTTTTAGTAGAGTTAGGAGAGTTGCTGGAATAGGGGGTCTTCTCAGGGATTGGAATCGGGTTATACTTATCTCTTTTTCAGAAAATGTTGGTCCTTCTCATCCCTATTTAGCAGAATTGAAAGCTGTTGAAAGAGGCATTGATATCTTTGTTTCTTCATAATGGTTGTTCAAGGGCAGACTCATTATTGAATGTGATTGCAAGCTGGTCGTGGATTGGATCAAAGATCAAGCTTTGGTTCCTCTTTCCCTTTCAAATTTTGTTAAGGAAATTGTATCTATTGTTTCTTTTAGAAATTTTATTGTCAGGTGGATTCCAAGGTCTTGTAATTGTGAGGCTGACAGGCTAGCAAAAGAGGGGATCGGGTGATTTTTTTGTCTGTTTCAGTTGGTATATGTTTCTGAGCCTAGAAGCTAGAGGAGTGTGTGAGGTCTTATGTTGTATGTAAAAGTGTTTTTAAGTCTTATGTAACTTGGCTTTCATTAATAAATTGAGGTACTCTTTTCCTCCTTCCGCTAGTTGGGCCTTACCTTACGGATAAGGTCCACTAAGAGGGAGGTTTTTAATGAGACCTCCTATTCCTATCAAAAAAAAAATTATGAAGGGGTTTTTAATGACACCTCCAACTTTTATAAAAAAAATATTGTTTTGATAGGAGGATAAACGAAAGAATAAGGCATCAACCAATGGAACATGGCAATCCAAGTCTAAGGCCATTTTTACAGAATAAAACATCTACAAAATAATAGCATCCTATAGTTTTCTATGAAGTTCAGTCTACCAAATTTAAAATCTCAAATACAAAAACAGGTATCCAAAATTGCAGATAGAGAATATGAAATAAAAGGTCTATACAGACTAGTATTTACAATTTAGCAAATCCATATGATAAATAATACTAAGTTTAAGCCAATTATTACTGTGGAAAACCAATTAATTTGAATGATACTGTTTTGCCCAGGAGAGGAAAGAGATTGAATACAACATAATGTCTCATATTCCAGAACTTATCATTTTGAATTCTAGATAAAAAAGGAAGGGGAAAAGTAATAAACAAACTATGTCCAGTTCAAAGACATGCACTTGCCTGTAGCTTTGTAGTCAGGCCTTTCTTCTCCTCTTCGAGCTCTCTAATCTAGAGTAACAAAAATGCAAGGAAAAATAATAGTAATAAGAAAGTGAAGAGAAAAAAGAGATTATTTACCAGAAATTTAGAGAACTCAAACAACCGAGCATATTGTCATACCTGAGCTCTTAATTTCCTGATCTGAGCCTCTTGAGCAGCCTGCTTCTTTGAAAGCTCTTCGCCTGAGAGAATAGACAAATATCTAGCAATAAGAACTCATATACAACAACGGTTCATGTTTTCTCGATAATATCTAGCCAACTAAAATCTCAATCAGACACAGAAGAGGATGCACCAAGAATTCTCATTTTACACTTAATTTCCATAATAAATTATAGAAGCCTCTGGTATTGTAGCCCCAAGTAAAGGTCAGGTGGGCAAGGGATTGATGATAAATACAAAAAACTTTAACCACTCCCATTAAGGAAGTTCTCTATATTTACAACCGATACCCCCACCCACCTAATCCTCCTCTTAAAAGTAATGCACATAATCCTGTTCAAGTTATTTATTGACAATGAAGTGTGTCCATTATAGTTAGGCTCTTTTTACAGGAACTCCATTACAAAGAAATTACATGAGGACCATTGAACAAGTTCCAAGATATCTGATGGAAGAAAATAATATGTTTTTGAATAAGATAAAAAAATGTTATAGCACATCAAATGTCTAGGAGTTTGCAGATCTCACCTTCAGCCATGACTTGATTAATTATTTCGTCTTTTTCCTTTAAAAGAGCAGCAGCATCACTTTTTTTATTCTGCTCTCTTCGAAGAGTATCCCTTTCTTTAGTCAAGGCATAAACCTGGACAAACATACACCAGGAGACAACATTAAATGCATAATAATTGAGCTAAAAAAACCACCTTTTTCCTAAAATGAATCAGATTTCAAGCAAGAAAATTCTTCTAAGGAAATGAAGATAGTCACACAGCAGAGTAGGATGAAAGCAGAATATTATTGTGCAGTAAACTTTGAATTATATGTAGGCAACTTAAAGCATTAGATCACCTCATTGTTGTTGCTCTTATAAGAGTGAGAAAGAGGCAAAGTATTCAAAAACCACAGATCATCATAACCCAGGTAATAACCACATATCTTACGTAATCTCATAGATCTAGTTAATAGTATCATTTAACCCAATACACTCTTAAAAGATATTACAAATATTTTCCTTCAGAGTTGAGATATTTAGATAAACGAAAAGTGGAAGTCTTATTGGGAACCTATTCAACATACTTTATAAACTTTAGTATGTAGCTACATACATTACAAAACATTACAAAAGGATTTCCATACCACAAGATGCAATTACAATTAGGGGAGTACATTGGGTCAGTTCGGCTTTTGTATATCAAAAACCAAATAAACCGGGCCGACTTTATTTTCAAAGCCAAAATAACCAAACCAAATTTCACCCTGAACGGACTAAAATAACCTACTAAACCAAATTGATAGTTTTTTTATAAGAAGTGGAGGCCTCATTAAAAACCTCCTTCATGATTGAAGGAACACCGAAAAGTGTTCCTTTATCAGCGGAAGAAGAAGTTGAGGAAACTCCCTCGCACTTATTCTTTACATGTTCGGTTGCATGGTCTTTGTGGTACAAATTTTTAAATTTTTGGAGGTTTAGTTATGTGTTTCCTGCTGATGCAAAAACCTTTCTTACTGCTTGGGATGAGTTGAAATCAAATTCTGCTATTTGGACTTTCATTCTTGGGGCTATCATTTGGACCATTTGGAAGGCCAGAAATCTTATTGTCTTTGAAGGGGGAAAGCTTGATCAATTAGAATTATTTTTCTTATCACGAGTTAGGCTGGCTTCTTGGTTCCTAGCTAAGCATAAGGATGCTGCTTCTATTCATAAGGATTCCTTGATTATGGATCCTTCATTAACAAATTCCTACTCGCCCTATAGTTCTATGAAGTCTTCTTCAATCCCTTAGGTACGTCCCCCTTCTGGTTTTTTTAAATTGAATGTGGACGCAGCCGTTAGCAGTGATTGGAAGAAATCGAGTATAGGAGGTATTTGGAAGGATCATTCAGGTTCAGTCCTAGGTTCTTTTCAAGAGTCAGTTGGTCCGGGACCTCCGACTATGATCGAACTTAAAGCTATTCAGAGGGGTATTTCATTATATGCTTCTGCTCAAGGGAGGGTTAAAGATAGGCTGATTGTTGAGAGTGATAGCAGGGTTGCAGTAGACTGGATCAACAATGTAAATTCATGCCCAGTTGTTTATGCATTCGTTGTTAGTGATATAGTTGACAATCTCAGATTTTTGGGGGGTTTATAAATTGGGTTGCAAGGTCAGCTAATATGGATGCTGATGCTTTAGCAAAGGCTGGAATAGGCTAATTATTATGTTGTTTGTTTTTTCAGTTTAGCATTTGATTCCTGTTCGGGTGGGATTTATGGACTGTTGTAAGGGTTATTTCGAAGAGATCTATCTAGGTTGTAATCTTATTTTCTTTAATGAAAATCTAAGGCGCTCTTTTCCTCCTTCCGATGATTAAGGAGCTTCTTTTCAAGTTCCATTAATCAAGAAGAAGGTTTTTAATGAGGCCTTCTAATCTTATCAAAAAAAAAATCATTAATAACTGAAAATTTACATAATGTTTAAAACAGCCAAGACCCTTACAAGGAACAACCCGAAACACTCAAACAAAACATCCTGAACTCAATAACACAACTAACCAATTCCAGCCTTTACTACGTTATCAGCCTCAATATTAGATTAGATGATCTATCAACCGAGCTGATAATACCCTCCAATTCTCTTAACATGACAGCAATATCCTTCACTAAATAAAGATAAACACCAGGACATCTATCTAAATTCTTTACCCAATCCACTGCTAGTTTACTATCAGATTCAACAATCCAACGATTCTTGAACCTCTGAAGAGTAGAAAAAAAGAAAGTTAAACCCCTCTTAATGGCTAAAAGCTCCATCAAAATAGGAGGACCTGGACCCGAAGCCTCTTGGAAAGAACCCTTCATCTCGCCAACCTCATTCCTTAATAAACCACCTATACCACTCTTTCGCCAATCTCCACAAACAGTCGCATCCACATTCAAATTTAGAAAACCTTTTGGAGGAGGAACCCAAGGCACGATTTTAAAAATGGAATTCCTTGAAGAAGAGCATAAATCTCCAATAGAAGGATCACTAATGAGAGAGTCCTTAGAAATATCAACTTCCTTGAACTTAGCTAAAAACCAAGAAGCTAGCCTGAATCTAGCCAAGAAAAATAGCTCAATCTGATCAAAGCTCCTTGCTTCAAACACAATGGCGTTTCTAAATTTCCAAATAGTCCAAATAAAAACTCCCGGAATAAAGGACCAAATAGAGGAATAAGGCACCAAATCATTCCAAGCTAGTAAAAAGCTTTGAACATTAACATGAAGAACCGAACTAAGTTTCCAAAAATTCAGAAACTTATTCCAAAGGGACCATGCCACCCTGCAGGAGAAAAATAAATGGGCGACAGATTCTATGTTACTTTTACAAAGAGGACATGAAATGTCAACAATCCCCGAAACCCCTTGTTTTTGTAATTCAAACTTTACTGCCAATTTTTTTATAGTTTTCTTTTTTAAGATTTATTCATAAAATAAAAAATTATCATTCTAACTTTAAACATTTATACCCAAATAATTTGATTGAGTTATTTCATGGTTGAGTATTTAATTTCATATTTAAATTAATTAAACATATTCGTGTAATTTATTTGGTTTGGATTTCCAAAATTTCAGGAGGAAGTCCTAACATTTCTCAATGACAATAACACAAGGAATATAAACAAGAAATTAATATTAGAAATCAAGAAAGAAAAAGAGGAATTCTTGGAACGTACCTTCCTTTCAAGAGTTGAAACCCTTTTTTGATATTCCTCTCGCAGAGACTCCATTTCTGCTTCATTGGATTTTCTCTGTTCCAAGCTTTCAGCTGTTAATTTGCAATCTTTTTTTCATTGTTATTAGGATAGAGACAGTAGGGTATCTTCGTAAACATCTAGTTTTAACAAGTAATTACTCATCTTTAGCCATTGGATAATTAATCTCAAACAATAAAAGAAAAAAGACACTGGTAGAAAGTGGTCGACTTGTATTAAGGGAAGAAATTGATGATTCCAAGTACATCAAGGTTCATATTTACTTTTACGCATGGAAGTGAAACCACATGCAAAACAAGGGAAAGCTTGACCAAAGACAATAAAACATAGAGGTATATCAAATGGAAACAAAAAAAACCTATTTATCCATCAAATTTTTATCATACATATGCCATGTAACAGTCTAATATCATTATATTAACATCAGAGACGTTGAGCGGAATCTTCTAATTGATAATGTGGAATTTGTTCATTTAAGTCTCTATCGAGATGTGCATTTTTATTCAAGAAAGCACCAAAAATCAACAGACAAGAAGAAAAAATATTAGGTATGACTAGCATAGAGACAAACCAAACCATGTTAAACCATCTAGAGCAAAAGCATGTACATACCTTCAAATCCTCAATTACAACTTTAAGCTGCTCATTCTCATTCATCAGCTTAGAGATTTCATCAGCTTTTGCCTGAAAATTAAAAATGAATTGAGATTCAAGAACCATAAAACTTCAATTTTCATACAATATAAAATTATTTCTTCCCTATGGTGCCCTTTGTCTTGGACGGATGTAGCAGAAGATACCATCTCAAAGTCAAGCACATGGAAGAGAAAGTAAAGTTCATAACCAAATAAATAAAAGGTATAAGATTCCTTTCTATTGTTAGTAGTAAAAGCATCTTCTTGTAGGCTACTAAGTTCTAATCTCAGAAAACCTGCCTTTGCAACATAAAAACCACTTAACCCCCATCCCAACTTCTTAAAATAAGAAATAAAGTACATTAAAAAGCAGCCGGGTGTTATAAAGAACCACAAAGAATCTAACCTATGTTATGTTATTTTTCCATACAGGAGAACTGATATGCATACGAATGACAAATAAAAAGACAAGAGAAGAAAATATGATCATGTACATTGTAGCCATGTGTAATTAGTAATTAGTGTCCTAATTAGTCTGTAACAGAGTTATTTATTATTTAATTTGTACTGAAGATCTTATCTAAGTAGAATATTAGACAGGATAATGACTAAACTAGTTAAACCCTAGTAGGACTCTAAGTTAGTATCAGTGTATCACTTTAGAATTTTATCTCTATTGCACTATATTGCAATCTACCTATATTAAGGCTTAAATCAATGTGTTCGAATACCAAGAAAAAATACAAAAAAGAAAAAAATTAGAATAACATTAGTGAACTTCTAATATTAACAACACAGCAAAACAATGGAAGAAGTTAGGTACCTGAGCCTGTCTTGCAGCACCTTGCAATGCAGATTCCATCATTTTCAGTTCCATCTTCACCTTCTCCAATTCATGGATAGAATCCGCATTGTTAGATAAGACACTGGCAGAACTCAAGCGTATATCTTCTTTAGCATCATTTTCACAATCATTAATCTGCCGGTCCACTTCAACTCTTGTAGCATTTTCATCATTTTCAAGAACCGATTCAGTGGACAGAAAAAGTTCCTGAGCACTGTTAGTCTCCTCTACTATAGCAGAATGTGAACTTGAAGGCATTGGCTCATCAGGGCCATTGCCAGCATCAGCTTGGCTGTCAATTGATTCCTCATATTTAACTAGAGAACCTTTCTCTAAAGTTTCTTCTGTTTGTGTCTTTCGTTCATCATTAATTTCATGCATGTCTACAGCATCCCTTGACCCGGTCGGCACAGCCTCAGTAACTTCAACTGTGTCTACCTCTGCAATATCTAGTTTGGCTTCCTTGGATTCATAATTTGCAGAGGGTACTACATCTAAAATTTCTTTCTGATGTTCATTTTCTGGAGAATCTGATGACTTAACATTATTAAAGGTAGATTCAGAAGGCTCTGCAGAAATTGTTTCTGATTCTGATTCAGATTCAGATTTACCAGGGTCCGAAGTCACAGTATCTGCTCTCTCCACAACCTCTGAATGCTCGTTATTTTTTTCTACCTTGACAGCTTCTTTATCTTCTTCAACAGTGGTTTTCACATGAGAATGACCTGATTTGTCAGTTTCAGCCTTTTCTTTTTCCTCAACTTTGGGTGGACTGTCTGAAGATTCAAGTTTTTCTGATGATTCAACTTCAGTCTCCTCACTTTTCTGACCCATAAAGGACATAACTGGGTCAAATAGTGGTTTTCGGTCCGAAGACCACAATCCTGAAGCTGGAAGAATACAGACAGGAAGCCATAAGTATGACTGGTTCAAAACCCGCATTATAACTTCCATTTACAATATTTGTTCAACATTGAAAATATTAGAAATGATAAGCCATTAGAAGCATCGTCTTTTTTGGGACTTCGTGGACAAAAAAAGTTCAAAAACAAGCAACAGTATGTAGTGCTTCTTTAAGCATGAGATCAGCATTGACCTATTTATGCAAGGAATGTGACAAAATAAGGTAATATGATGATAACTTCATTTCAATGGAAGCAAATAAGTAACCTAATTTAGGGACTAGGGTCCATTGGATTCCACAGAAATTGAAGTAAAGCAGACACAGATAACAAACAGCATGTATTTTTTTATTATTCCAAACTCAAATAAAACAGTAGAAAAGTTAACCCTTCACAGGATAATTCAGGAATGGAAAACTACAAGATTAGCGCTGCAATAGGCAGTAGAGGCAAACTACAACTTAGGCTTCCTAATTGACATCCTATAACATGGAACTGAAGCAGTGTGCATTACTTGCAACATGTCACTTGCCTAACAAACTTTACAACTCTAGTTTAGTAACCTGATGATTCACACAAGCTATGACAACACCCGTTGTTACTATTTACCAAAATGAACTTAATATCATAATGCAAAACCTAAAATAGGTTTATACTAGACATTTGCATCCAAAAGCTTGAATATTACACAAAATACCAACAATGTAAGCAATGTAAAAAAAAGTACCTTCATTGTTGCTTGATTCAGACTTCTCCTCAAACCCGAGAGCTGTATCAAAATTCTTCTCAATATTCTTCACGCTTTCTTGGAGTTTATTGACTGCCCCGGCGAGATCAGGAAAGCCCCCTAAGGACACCTTCCCGCTGAACCAAGCCATCCTTTTTTTAACTATAAAAACCTAAAACAGCTCGATCCGAAAACTCAAATCCACCGATTCAAGCACATCAGAAACCCTACATTGACATTCCACAAATAAATTGATTAAAATAAAATACAATGATCCAACTTTTTCAAATCAGAACCCAACAAGATCTACATCCAAACTTGCGTACCAGGTAAGAATTACGAATTAACGATCCAATCAAAAGAATACGAACGCTGAGAATTGAGAAACTGAACTTGATAAAAGGAAAAGGGAAATTTGAAGAAAAAACCACGAGAAATTGGGGTTGCGATTGATTAAATTCATCTTAATAACTCATAAGTGAAATCAAATAAAGTGAAAAGGACATCAGAACTAAGAAGAATACGCATTTAAATTGGTTCGAGATAAAATAATATATACATGTACATAATCCATAATCCATAATCCAACGATAACACAAGATTCAAATTATCGGGAGGGGGAGAAGCATGAGTGAGAAGCGTAACCTGATAGAAAATGCGCGAAATTCAGATAAAAGAAGATTTAGTTTATAGAGTGAGAGAGAAGCTCGGTAGATCGAGGAAAGCAGCCGAAAGAAATGGGGTCGATCCACCTTTTGCTTCTTTCTTTGTGTCATTGGGTGGATGAAGATGACTTATTTGAGCTAGTACGTCGTCGTTTTCCAAGGGACTGAAGTTTTTCTTTTCTTTTTTTTTGGAGTAAAAACGAGATTTCAATTTTTTTACCTTCAACTCATTTTAATATTTTCTAGTATTTTATAATTAGGAGAAAGTGAACAAAGTTAATTCGAAATAATTTCTAATGAATATATTTTTGTTAAAATAATAATATTTTAAGTATAAATACATGAAAAAAAAGTGAATAATTATTGTTAATTATATGATAAACTATAATATTAATCACTAAACTTTAATTTTTGTATCGATTTGAATTTGATTATTGATTTTAAAAAATCAATTTATTATGAATTCATTAATGACTGATGACATAACACTTTGATATTATAACATGGAAGTTAAAATAATTTTTTTATTTAACCTCATTTTCTTCATTAAAATTATAGTTTCATCCATTTTCTTTTACCATTGAAATCTTCTAGTCTTTCACCATTGAAATCCTTCATTATTTGACGTCTCTTGCAACTACTCTAAATAACAACGAACTATTTTATTATCCTCTATCACTTTATTGATTTAAATTTTATCAAGTCTCTTTAAAATCTACAAAATTAAACAATAAAGACTACAATTTTTTTTTAGATTTGAAACTCTCAAATTTGAAATTATTTTAATGTTTGTTCGAAAATTCAAACTGTGAAATATATTCTTTTAAGAAGACAAATAGCATATCTCAAAGTTAAGTTCATCGAATGACCCTTGGAGGACATATGAGCATTAATATGATTGTCATATAATATATTTAACTCTGATATATCATGTGAGTCTATCAAAAGTAATATTAAAATAGTATAGTTGATCGAAAGATTTGTATCTATAAAAAATTTGATCATAAAGAGAAATATTAAAAGAAATCTTAAGAGGTACAATACAACTCTCACTAAAATTTAAGAATTAATGACAGGTGGGATTCCACTCAAATAAATAAATTAAAAGAGAATACTCACCAAAATTAAACTATTTGCATTAATACAAGAAATCTAAACATTAATTATGTGCATTAATATTTCAACTTTACAGGCCCTATCAAAAGAGAAGCAAGTAGTCAGGTTTCAGTATAAAAATTGTTCATCCTACTTTTTTAGACTGTAACAAAGAAAAAGAGTTGTAAAATGGAGAAGAAAACGATACGTTTCTCTTCGTTTCTATGGGGTTCGGGGTTAGTGTCCATCATTAGTTTCAGCTCCGTGCGGGCGTTTCATCGTCCTCGAGCAGCCACATGCGAGGATTGCGTACAGGGTTTCCTAAACCTTTACAACCCATACTTGGTGGGCCAAGTAGACCGACCCGATCGGCAGTGCTGCAATGCTTTGCACCTCACGTACTATTCTTTCGACTTCACCCAACTCGAAACTCGTCAGACTATCTGCGAATGCATTCGGAAGATCGAGGTGCACGACCAATACAAGCCTTCCCGTGCGAAGATCACACAATACTATCTGCGAAGATGCTTCCGGTGATTGGTTTCTATGTCCCCTTCCCGTGCCCTTGTATCCCTCCGACGATGACCGCAAACAGTAACGCTTACTCTCTCCATTTCATGATTAGTGTTTATTGATTGCAATATTAGTGATCGAGGAAACTGACGTCGTTCTAATTTTTTTCGACTGATTTGCAGCATGGGTTAAGCTAACGGAATGCAAGAAGCCAAGTCGATGTCGATGCATATCGGCACCGGAATAAACTGAAGAGTTGGCATCAAATTTCGTACAAGTTGTGTGATCTTGTAGTTAAACTCAGAATTTAACTTATGAATGTTCAATATGGACAATATTGGGAATTTTTTAAGCGCAGTTTTCTCATTTTACTCATTTAAGATTTGATTTGCAATTGGATACTCCAAGGTATGTTTAAAACAAAACGTTAGAAGACATTTGATATCGACACATGATTTTATGTTAATATGTTTAAACATTTAAAAAGTTATAATAAAATTGAAGGATGCATAATTATAAATTTTTAAGTGATATATAATTAGATCATCAATATAAAATATAAAAAAAAACTATCTAAATTTTATAAGAATTTAAAATTCTTAAAGGATACACATTCTTAAGTCCATCTTAACAACACCAAACATTTAAATCAATGTATTTTATAAAAAAATATCACATTTAACTAAATAGACACGTTGACTCGTGTTCTTTTTCTTTCTAATTTTAGTCTCTAAAATTTTATTTTATGACAAAAAATCTCTAATGTTTGACTAAATAGTCAATTTGGTCCATGTTCTCTCTTTTTTTTTAAACATTTTGGACTCCAAAATCTTATTTTTAGACAAAAATGTATCTATCTTGAAGCATTAACAATTTGTTAACTAATACGAATCAAGTGATCTCGATGGAAAATGAGCAATTTGTTAAATAATAAGAATGTCAAGGGAGTCCAATCTCAAATGATAGAAAATTATTTTTGAACATATATTGTCTTATACTTACTCAGCCACAAAATAAAACGATGGAACCCAAAATACTTCAACAAAAGAATCGAAGTGATTATTTAACGATAAGCTAAAAACAATTTTTTAGCATTATAACTTAAAATAAATGGTGCAAGATTATTTCAGCTTTAACAAAGATCTTAAGTTAGAGATCATGATAATGCAGCAAAACTTAATGGTAAAGCTTTATCATTGTATAGGTGGAGGATACCCGTATGGAAATAAAAGGAAAAAACATGCATATTACAGGGCTGAACATCAATGGGATAGAGAGGTTGAAGATGAAGCCACTTTGAAGATGAGGAACTTGAGACTCTCCATTGAAAAGTAAATGAAGGTCCCTCTAGAATGAGAGAAATAACACCCAAACTTTGAACCCACCACACATTGCCATCCATCCCCATATTTGCTGTCAAACTCCTGTCATCCCAAAAAAATCAAAATTTCAATGGACTTAAACCACTGGAAAACCATGCAAAAAAATACTGATGTTTTGATGTCAGGGAACCAACTTATAAAATTTCAAGGATGAAAGCAGATTACCAATAAAAAGTATAAAAAATTTATCTATATATATGATAATTTGAAATTTTCATGAGAAGATTGTCCTGATCCCTTCGGTTCGAAAGAAGAAGAAGAATACCTTTTTGATGTATCCGGCTATTGATTTGTAATCAGATACATCGTGGTGATCCAAAGCCTGAGAAGCAGAAGACATAGCATGGATTTGCATCTGCAATGGCATATCTGTGTCTTCTACCAATGCTTTTCCTTCCAACATGTTTCTTCTACTTCTCTTTTGTTTCACAGAGAAACAATGAATCCTGGTTTGGGATTTTATGCCAAATTCAGTTCCAAAAAAGGCAAAATACGAAACAAATGAAGGGCTTTTTCTGATATTTTCCCAAAAGTGGAGGAGCTAAGGGGGTTATATTAAGTACAAACAAGGTAATATCAGGGTGGTTAGTTGGTACATTTTGCCAACGCTTTTGTGCTTATCCCTCTCGTAGGGCCTTTTTTATCGTTCCGTTTTCTTCTATTTACTTTTCATTGCCCATAAGGATAACCCCTTTTCTTTCTGTTATTGTTTTTTTAGGTTCGCTTGCTTATGTTTTTATTTAATTATTGATTGAAGTAGGAGAGAGTTAACAATCGAGTCGGTTAAAAAATTAAGTTGGTTGAATTTATGAGTGAAATATTATCGACAAATCTTAAAAAGTAACCTCAAAACCAACTCACTTTGTTAAGTGAAATATGATGGATTTATATATACGTCTTGAAGCCTGTTTTGAACTAATAGATTCAGTTACTGTATAACAGAAACTTAACAACTAGTCTTGACTTAACTATTTCGTACTAGGATGTAAACGAACACGAACGAGTATATGTTCATGTTTATTCGTTTAACTTTAACTGAACAAACGAACGAATATGACTAACTAAACGAATGAAATTTTTTGTTCGTATTCATTTATTAAGAAAATTTAGGTTGTTCGTGTTTGTTTGATAAACGAACATAAATGCACGAACGCAAACAAACACAAACGAACGAATAGAAATGAACGTAGACGAATATAAACGAACGAACATAAAATTAATTGGTTTATATTTGAGAAGAGTTTTTTTTTCTTTTCAAGTAATATTAGGATTATAATTTCTTTAATTGATTTGAGTACTTTTTATTTGGGTTTAAAATTAATTGAGTTTAAAAATATTAATGGGTTTAAAGTTAAAATTTATTAAATCTTTATATTTCAAACGGGCCAGAAGAACACAAACGAATAAACAAACGAGCATAAACGAACATAAACAGAGGAACATAAATGAACGAATATAAATGAACAGATTATCGAACGTTCACCAACGTAAATGAACGAACGAGTCTTTTGTTCGTGTTCGTTCATTTAATTAAACGAACATAAAATTTTGTTTATGTTTGTTCGTTTAATAAATAAATGAACATAAATGAACTTTTCGTCGAATGATTCGCTGAACTTTCGATTTGTTTACAAGCCTAGCACGTACAACCATAACTCTAACCATGAGTTTTATTTAAATTGAAGTTAGTTTATAAGATTTAAGTTAAATTAAATTGAATGTATTTATTTAAGTTTATATTTAAAATTAAATATAAATTATTTATAATATTATATTATTGATTATTGGTTAGTTCTAATTGTATTTGTTCATTAACTATATATATATATTTATTTATTTTTTAATAGTCTTGGTGATTATAAGGTAGTATATATTTAGAACTTTTTTCAAGCGCATACATCATGCAGACACGGTTGCTTAAATCTAAGACTTCTAAGAAGAACAATATTTTTTTTAATCACTAAAACCACTTGATGGATTCATATTTATATTTGTTATATAATAAAAAAATTATAATATTATTTAATAAATCAAAATGTAATGCCCCGATTTTCGGGTTATTAGTTTTGGGTAAAAAAATCGAGTGAGTTTAAATGCATTAAGGAAACCATTTAAGAGTTTTGGGTCAATGCATAGTTGTTTGGGTAGGGCTTGAAACCAATAAGACTAAAAATGTATGTTTTAAAAGTGTACACCAAATGAGGGGATAAAGACTGTAATTAACCCCAAAATTTATTCAAAGGCTGAATATCATTTAAGAAGGGTGATTTAACCGGGCAGAACTCTCTCATTCCTCTTTTTTCATCCACCTTGTCTTCTTCCCTTCTTCCCTTCTTCCCTTCTTCCTTCCAAGCTCCATTTTTTCTTTCTCTTCACAATTTGGTTCAAAGGTGAAAGCTTTGAGAGCCTAATTCTTTGTTTAAGAAATCTGAGGTAAGACTTGAAGAGTTCTTTCTCTAAGATTTCATTCAAGTGCTCTTTTGCTAGAAATGGCTATGGAAAAACCATAATGAAGGTTTAAGAGAGGTTTTGGAATTTTGGGTTCTTTAGCATCCTCATTTCGTATTTGTCGATAAAAAAATAAATTTATTATTTGTTGACATCATAGATCGAGATTCAAATCCTGCATCACTCCTCACGCTTTTTTCTTTCTTTCTTTCAAATTGGCAATGACAATAAATGCTATTTTTCATCTAATTGTGGGGAGAAGTCACCGATGGTGGTTGAGAGCTTAAAAGGCATGCAATGGTGAAAATCTATTTGTTTTGGAAAATTTGGTGATTGAAAATCTTACAATGCAGAAGCAGATAGTGATACCAATGGCCCCCGTGTAGGCAGTGTTTAGATATTTGACACATCTAAAGCGTTTCTAGGAGTTTGAGGTATGACCTTCTTGAACCTTTGAATGAGTTTGTAACTCATTTTCATTGATTTTTCATAGTGAGAGAAGTGGGAGAAAGCTCAAGGGATCAAGGCAAAGGAAATGATATTTTTTGGTGAGCTTGGAGTTGTTCTTGCAATTCTTAGGTGAAAGGTAACACATTTCTAACTTTCTCGTACTTCTTGTAGATCAAAATGTTAAGCTTTGATGCATGTTGTGTGTATAAGCCTTTGTTTGCATTTGGGTGGGGTTTAAGGCATGAAATGAGTTTTGTTGTGTATTTTAAAGATATGTAGTGATATTATAGCACCCAAACGTTCATCTTGTCCCTAGAGTATGGAAGTTGGTGACTCAAATAGGCATGTTCCGACGAATTAATAATTTTTCCAAAAAAGATCGATCCCTTAAGGGAAAGGATTGATCTCTAGATCGAAATGATCAATCCCAAACTCTCTGTTATGCAATGGATCAATCACTTTTCAAATGGATCGATCCCTCAGAAGAAAGGATCGATCCCTCGGGGAAAAGGATCGATCCCTCGAAAGAAAGGATTGTTCCCTTCATTGTTTTGCCGATGGGAAAAGATGGAAATTAATTCAGTAAAGGTCTAAAGTGTTATGAAATGTTGTCTTGGTATCAACATGTTTGAATGAGTTTAGTTTGGTCCATTAATTGATTTACACAATTACTTAAACCTTAAACCCAAAAACTAATGATAATGATCAAACTCAACTAATAACGTTATGAAATAAATCGACATAAAACTAGCCTTGTTTGATACTTGAGGAAACGACGAGGACACTCGAGTCTGTTGACAACGTGAGCGTTACATGTATAAAATATTCGAATATATTTAATCTAGTGCTTGGAAACTTTAAATGCTAATTGGATGTTTTGCCAATGCTACGTGACCCGGACACATCCCGAGTACTTTAGAGGAATAAACTAGTCAAGTAAGTGTCAATGCTTCGTGACCCGAACTTGACCCGAGTGTGAAGGAGACACTGATGCTAGGTGACCTAGATCTTCTTTAAGTGTTGTAAGTAAAGAGGGGTGTGAGTTCTACGATGTTGTGTGACCCCGAGCTACACCATGATACTTATTGTTTTCTTGAGTGTTGAATTTGCTCATAACTATATTGTATCATGCTTATATGTTGAATGCATGTAGTACAACTTGGTTATTTTTTAAAGCACTAAGCTTGTGAGCTCAGCGTATGGAATTTGTTCCGTGCGCAGGTCAGTAAGTGCCAACTGAAGAGCTCTTCACCAGACTTGGATTCCATACTCGACTTCTTCAGAATACGTTTTGAGAATTTTAGAGGGCATGTACTGCCATAGACCCTTATTTGTATCTTGAGTCATAAACTCTACATTTAAATTATTGATATATTTTGGAGACTTATATCGGGAGATCCCCATATTAAATACTTATATTTTGTTCTTGCCGGTATTGAAGTTTTATGGATGGTACTTTCATGAAACATTTTCAAAATAAAATGTTTAGCCGATTACGTGGTTTCGTCAAACACCGTAATTCAATGATCTTTTGGTCGAATTGGATTAGGGTGTTACATAAAATGTATAAAATCATATATATATCTCGAGAACACCGATGAGCACCATTAACTATTAGCATTATTAATTTAATTTATAAAGCTTTAAAATTATAAAGTACTCAATGTGTAATTATAAATTAATTAAAAGTATAAACATAAATTATTTAAAATAAAATATTAACTATATTATTTTTTATAATATCATTTTAAATAATAATTAAATCAAATATTAATCCTTAAATTCTTTTTTTCTTTGAAGTCGTCGACGTCATTTTCATCGCCATTATCACTATTGATGTCGTCATCGTTGTTGTCATTGTCGTTATTACTATCGTCAATTTCACTGTTATCGCCATGTCGTTGTTGTTGTCGTGTCAAAGCAAGAAAAAAAATTGAGGTTTTTTAATTTAAGGATTAATATTTGATCCAATTATCATTTAAAATAAAATTATAAAAAAATAATATAATTAATATTTTATTTTAAATATTTTATGTTTAATTTTTTAACTAATTTATAAGTTTTATAAATTACTTTTTAATTTTAAAGTTTTATAAATTAAATTAATGGTAGTCAATCGTTAATTATAATAATCGGTATTTGTCGAACCTCCTAGAATTTTCCATATATATAACACTATTTCGGAGAGATTATGTGTTATTATAAAAAGTTGAAATCCAATGGCGCCTTATGTATATAAGCTTTTGTATTTTTTATAACATCAAATAAAGTGATAATTTTCAATTTACAACCAAATAAGAGATAATGTTAAATTTGTACTCAAATAAATTTGTAGTCTCTAATTTATGCCTTATTAAACCCTTAGCATGAAAAATATATTGTTTTAAATACTAATAAAAAATAAAAATGATTTGAATATAATAAAATATTTTGAATTTGTGGTGCTAATTAAACACACGATAAAACACAATAAGTCTGAAATAAAATTAATTATACCCTAAAATAATATAATAAAGCAATTATTCAAGATAATTAATAAATTAGCATAGTTTCGTTCAAGTTGGAAGAAGAAACAAGGGCAAAGGTAGTCAAGGAAAGGAATCTAATCAAAATTAGGTAGTTTGTCAATTATTTTAAAAAATTAATGGGGGCCAGAAACACTTATTTTTTATATTCCAAAATTTTATTAATTTACTTTTTTTATTAATCACAATCGTTAAATCAATTTTTTTTAAAATTTTAATTTTTTTAGAATATTAATATAATTTTAGGAAATCTCTTTAAAAAATATGTAAATTTTATATGATAGAATTATAGCATACTATGCGATAGACTGATAGAATATCTCATAAAAATTGTTAAGACTCGATAAGAATATTAAATTATTTAATTGACTCAACTTCTTAATTTGAACATGAATCGAGTGAATTCAATGGTAAAAAAAGTTATTATTATTCTTCGAGGTCCCGAGTTCGAGCATTAAAAATGTCAAAAGTGTAAGTGTTTAATGTCAAATTATTGAAAATTATTTTTGAATAAATATTGTATGTATTTACTTCGAATTAATAAAAAAATTCTTAATTTGAGAATTTAGTTGAATAAAAAAATCTTATACTTAATTAATTTCTTTAAAAAGAGTCCATGTCTCATACACTTTCATTTTTTTTAAATAATTGTACGAGATCTTAAGCTTTTATGATATAATTAGATATTTTAATTTAGTTTTAAATTTTAATTTAGTATCTAAATTTTTTATCCATACAAATACTTAGACTTAAGTTTTTAGTATAAATTAATTTTTTCCAAATTAATATTTATAATAAATAACTTATACATATTTAAGTCATTAAGTTAAACGCAAATACAATTTAAATTTAAAAATTAAATCTAAAAAATTAATTGAACCATAAAAAATTAAGTACCAAATTAGATATGATCAGATTTATAAACCTAACTTCAAAACAAAAATCATTATCAAATTAAACTCATAAATTGAATTAAAATATCAAAATATATATTAATAGGGTTGATTCAAGTTGTAAGCAACTTAATATCGTTTAAGGTCTACAGTTCGAGTCCTTATGTATATAAAAAAAATTTGCTTGAAGACTCACATATTAAAATCAAGTATACAAAACATATCAGTTCGAGTTCGTTAAGACGAAACCTCTAAATCGAGAGGAAAAATAATAATATCAAAATATATGTATGCTACAGCTACCTCCTTTAATATATGCAATAAATTATCAATATTTTAATTTAATCTCAAAATACAAAAATTATTTGCTGCCGACACTTGTTCCCGAACCTACCACTCAGTGGGAAGTGCCTGGTATGGTCCCAAACCCAAACCTCTTCTTCAATTACATCATCCTATATATTTTTTTAAAATTTTATGAAAAAATTTAATGGATTTAAATACGTATAAAAATATTAAATAAAACAAACATGGCTTATATTAAACGAATATAAAAATATTGAAGAAAACATATGAATATAAAAGTAATATTACAAACATGATTAAATATAATAAAATTTTAATTAGTCAACAATTTGTATTACATAAATAATATAGAAACTTATTTAAGTGTAATATTAAGAAAAAGGAAAAAAGGTTTGTCCTTCTCTGGATTACTATACTGTCTGTCTGCAAGCTTAAAAGACAGACAGAAACAGAGTGAACTGAATTGTTCTTCTTTCATCTTCTTTTTCTTCTAACTCGAATTCTGAGATTTTTTTTTAAATAAACCAAAACAAGATGTTGTCTACGAAGTCAGAATCAGATATCACAAGCCTAGCTCCGTCATCGCCGTCAAGGTCACCGAAACGTCCAGTCTACTATGTGCAAAGTCCATCTCGAGACTCTCACGACGGCGACAAGTCGTCGACGATACAACCGAGTCCGATGGAGTCGCCGTCGCACCCTTCTTCCGTCGGACGTCATTCGAGGAACTCGTCGGCGAGCAGGTTCTCGGGGATATTCCGGTCGTCGTCCGGGAGGAAAGGTGGGCGGAAGAGGGATGATAAAGGGTGGCCTGAGTGTGGGGTGATAATGGAAGAAGGGTCGTACGATGAGTTCGAGGATAAGGCCTTCGTTAGGCGTTTCCAGGCCTTGATTGCCCTCTTGACCTTTGTGGCTTTGTTCACGGTGTTTTGTTTGATCATTTGGGGTGCCAGTAGGCCTTACAAAGCAGAAATCGTGGTCAAGGTATGTTCATTTGCTAATCATCCTTTATCTTAAAACATTTGTACAATGATTGACATTGGACTTCGAATCCCATTTTAGATAACTTTTCGAAAAATTATAGAATAATTGAGCTCCTTGTCTTAATATCAGAAGTTCATTAAAGTTGATAAAAGGATAGCCATGGATTAGATTAGGTCTGGTTTGTACTTCATTCCATAAGAAATTAAACCACTCCATAACCATTGTATTTGATTCAATCTCGATATAAGACAGTTTCTTCAAATCTGAAATTCAATTTTTATGAGATGAAATAACGACTTAATTATAAATAATAATATAAAAAGTGATTTTATTATAATTTTATTTAATTATATAAGGAATAATTTTAATTTTATGTGAGTTGAATTTTTATCCTAAACTCTAATTATTTCATCCTTTCGATTGAGTCGAGTTGGGTAAGAATGAGTTAATCGATGATTTTTATTTTATAACTCAAACTTTAGTTTGAATTTTTTCGAGTCGAGTCGAGTTTATGAAATTCGAGTTAAGTGGAATTGTTCGAGTTTGTATTTGAATTTAGTTGTAAATATTTATACTATTATGATATTTTTCGATTCTAATTTAAACAATTTATTTAATTGTATATGATGTATATATCTTCATATGTTTTTCATGTGGTATACATATATCATACAGAGTCGAGGGATTTGACTCGAACTTGAAAACCACCTACTAATTATTAAATTTTTTTAGTTATGCGAATACTATTTTATAACTCGGTTCGAATTTGAATTTTTTTTAATCGAATCAAGTTTTAAAATCGAATCAAGTCCAATACGAATTGGTTAAGTCGGATCCGAGTTAAATACCCATCCTTAGTTGACAGTAACCTTAGAACAAGATAAATCATAAGTTTTTTCACTTGTATTCAACTGCAATGCATATTGCATATTACATCATTTGGCTTTCTATGTTGAGTTGATTTGATGAAGAAGAATGCGAGTCTTGCAGAGCTTGGCAGTGCACAACGTTTTCGTTGGGGAAGGCTCGGATTTCTCAGGGGTTCCAACAAGAATGCTGACTATCAATGGCACCTTGAAGATGGGTGTTACAACCCCGCTACGATATTTGGCATTCACGTCAGTTCTAACCCCGTCAATCTCGCATACTCGGAAATCACCGTCGCAACCGGTCAGGTACGATTTTTCGAAATCCCGAACATGTTTCAATTGTAAACCTTGCAATGCAGTGAAATGAAAGTGTTTCGAATCGATTGCAGCTGAAATATTATCAGCCAAGGAAGAGCCATAGGATCGTATCAGTGGTGTTGGAATGGGAAAAGGTACCACTTTATGGAGCTGGATCAAGCTTGACGTTTACACAAAATGGTGCCGCTGAAGTTCCGTTGATACTGAAGTTCGAAGTCCGGTCGAGAGGATACGTGGTCGGAAAACTCGTGAGAACGAAGCACCGGAAACAAATTTCTTGCCCTCTGGTCATCGATTCTATGAAAACCAAGCTCATTAAGTTCAAGAAATACGAATGCACATATGACTGAAAGTCTTGGTCAAGATGAAGAATCGCAATCTCCTTTTCTTTGGGTGTAATTGTTTATTGTTTTGCTTAGTCTTTTGAGTTGTTCCTGGAAATAAGACAAATGTATAGACAAAAATGTTTGTCCAGTTCAGTTGGTAGAGCACAAGACTCTTAACCTTATGGTCGTGGGATCGAGTCCTACCGAGAGCATTTCATAATTCGGAAGTTCCACAGAAGTTGCTCTCAATCTGGCGTTGGGGGCCAACCTACTTTCATACCTCCCCTTATCCTATATTACGTATGGGAAAAAAAGGTAAGTTAATTTTATATTTTATAGACGATATAAGAGGTTCTTGTGCTTGATTTTGCTAAGGAATGTCAATATAGAGGAGATTTCAAACAAAATAGTGTTAATCTATAAGCATAATGATGACACAATAAAATAAATATTAAAATTTATCGAACAACATATAATCGAATTCAAGTGAAAATAGTACACGACGAGAATAAAGACGTTTGCATAAACTTCCATGACTTTAGCTAAAGCAAGCACCAGCTAGATCTAAACTATTCAAGAAAAAGAAGCTAGATTAAGCATCAAGAAGAAGGATCTCTTTCTCTTCGATCTTCAAACACTTCAATTCATCATCTAGACAATTCTTTTCGAAACCGGTTCTCCACCACCGCCTCCAACAACGACAACCAGCCTTTCGTTCGCTTCCACCGAGTCTGATGGAGGGTGGGAAGACCCTGCGACCACCACTGCATTATGGAATGGATCGTTGTCTACGAATCCGGCTTCAACTTCATCATCGGAAAAGTAAATGGTTTTGGAACGTGATTTGATGGCGGATGCAGCTTTGAGGAAGGCCTCGTGTATGGAATCCGGCGGAAGAGCGCAATCCTCGAGACCCGCGTCTTCAAGGCATGGAGCGAGGATCTTGTCTAATAACTCCGTGGATTCTCGCCCTCTCGTGGCATCCATGAAACTTTTTTTTTTCTTCAAAATGGTTGAGAAGAATGAGCCTCAAACTTCAAGGAGGAGAAAAGGATTTTTGTAATTGGAAAATTCAGAACGACGTGAAACCTTGACTTAAAAATCGCAAAATTGGAATCGCGATTTACCGGAAGAACAGAGCATTGCGTAAATACAGACCTATAGCTACACCCATATGCCCTGGGGATTTCTCTTTGTCAGCCTATACTTTCCCAGGCCCAACAGTCCAATACTCAAATATTCCTGCTAAGAAACATGTAATATTATGGGAATAACCTATATTTTAATTCAACTTATAAACTACGTAAATGGTAAAATTTTCCTTTCAGCACTAAAGTTTCAAAAATAATGAACCAATCACTAATATTATCGATGTAAAAAATTGATCACTCAATCGTTACCGCAATCATGTAAATCTGATGTGATGACAACTTTGGGCGATTGAGTTGGTACTGTTTGACTATGTTGGTATCCTTTTTTTTTGGTAAATAACGGTAATTTTCTTTTTAAAGGATAGCATTATGGATGATAAAGGAGGGCAGCTCAGATGGTGAAGCTAAATCATCCAGCAAACTGCTGCCACATCAAATTTTTCAGTAGAATCTCCCTTAAAAATTGTAAAAAGAAATAATCAATCATAAAACCAAACCAATCTAGCAACGTATTTCGGAAGAAGTCAAATGAATAGTTTGACTTCTATCATCAACTCCGTGATCAATAGCCGGATGAAGATACTAACACGTTATGCTCCTTTAAACGCTTCTGGAAATGAGCCAACCGAGTTTGTAACTGCGTGATCCCAGCAGCCTTCTGAGAAAGAATAGCAGTCAACCTCGATATATAATCATCCAGCTGGTTCTCGGGTTGACCTGCTTCAACCAGCAGGTTCATCTCCTGAAATCGTTACATCCGAATTTAATGAAATCATGAAAGCAACTCAGTGAGGTAAAGAATAACTTGCGAACCCAGGTTTACCTCTCTGACAATATTCATAGTTTCCTCCACTTGTTTCCTGTGGGCATTTACAAGATCCTCCTCTTCCTGTGTAAAGGTACACTTGAGCTTTAACATTCAATCAAGTTAATTTTTAGGTCTCTTTAGCAATAATAATCCTCTTGTAAAAATTACCTGTAGGAGAGCATTCAAATCATCATCTGAATTTGAATGCTTAAAGTCAGATCTTACTGGTTTTTTCCATTTGGTTTGACCCGTAGGTTTCGGTAACTTGTTCTCCGCTGTAGAGAAACCTCGCTCCCCATTTTTCTTCCACATCACTTTCTCCTGCTCAAAGGTGTCTTCCGAGGCATCAAAATTATCTCTTTTGTCTTGGTCAGGCCATGTATCATTAATATCATCCTCGAAGTATGATGATGCAGTTGGTAAACCCGAAGATAAGGGCTGAGCAGTGGATTCTTTCAGATTTAAGGTCGAAGATAAAACATCTTTCTTTGGGTTTCCCCCTTTGGAAAGGCTCTTCACCCTGTATGTAATTTTTACATCGAATAGAAGTCAAACACATGAAAGAAAAAGGCAATTAAAACCAGAGGAATGACTTTAAAAAAAGATGTGTAAATATTTTGTTATAACTAGAGAAGTCTTAATTACCTATCGGCATATCTTAAGGTGTTCAGAGTGTGTTCACATGACCCTGAATTTGGTGAAATGCAAGATATCATAACTGTTCGGGAATTTCCCATAAAAGAGTCCCTTAGAACTTCCGTCAGTTTACTGCCTCTGAAAGGAATGTGTCCCTGATCATTGTCAAGTGCTCTTATGCACTCCTTCAAGGCAAGCAAGCTCTTGTTGATCTCAGCACCTTCCATTCTGCATTACAAATAGAAATGGCTAATTAAACAAGCACGTCAAGCAAAACTAAATTCACACACCTATCCAAAATTTGTCCACAAGGAAAAATATTTGGTATGCTAGATCTGAAACCATGAATTGGAACCAAACTTTAAATGCAAAAACATCAAGTCCAGGCATTTTTGGACTGCATAAACACGTTTCAACTTTGAAATGTTTGGACATTTAGAGGTCAACCAGATAAGTCAACTACATGGAGTTAAAAATCGAGATGATCCAGAAACCGTGGACTATTTGGCATAACTGTCTTCAAAATTCTGTCTGTTTAGATTAAACTAACAACACTATTTTTTAATATTAAGCTCTGTAATTGAATCTGCTCCTTATCTATGGTCATTTTGCAATTTAGAAGATGCACAGTACCTTGTCTGCTTATCATTATCTGTAGTGTCTGCACCTCTTTCACTTCCAGCCAGATCTATAAAGGAAAGCTTGCCAACAAGACGGGGGAGCTTTGATCCATTTCCATCAACAGATCTCTTGATGGCAAGCTGAAGTATGGCATGAGATCGGGATGATTCCTCGTTTGCACCTGTGGTACCAGTACTTCTTGTGCCATTTCCTTTCTCAATAAGCTCCTTAATAGTCTCTACATCTGATACTATGTACTCTTGCAGACCCACAATACAAACTTGCTGCTTACCATCCTCTCGCATGCAAAGTTTTCTGCAGAAAGAAAGGTTAGTTTTTAGCGAATTTAGAAACAATAGCACTGAACGGAAAAGGAGAAAGCTTGCAACCATTAACAACTTACTTCCTATCACCGAGAAGATCATACAATTTTCCTCCATATATCTCAAAGAAGCTTACAAACAACTGAAACCCTTGGTTCCTGTAGGTATGGTGCATCAACCTCAAAATATCCCTAGAGGCTCTAAGCGGAAGCGGCTTCATAGTATAGGTTTTTCCACTCCCTGAACAAGAGAAAGACCTCTAAGTGCAAGATGGCTTAAATTTGTAATTCATAAATAAGAGATAAATTGATGCAGAAAGCAAATTATATGTTAGTGTCAAACAAGAAAAATTCACACTGAAAGAAAACCTCCAACAAAGAATCCATCTAAGATTTGGTGACAGTTATTTACCTGTTTGACCATATGCAAAACAAGTGGCTTTGATGCGTTGAAAAATTATAGGAATTATGGACTCCACCGTCTCATGATAGACCTAAAGAAAAAAAATGAAGCCAAGACAGGGTGAGAAAAACTTTCACTCTAAGAAATCCATATCCTGTAATATATTCTAACCTTATCCACTAATAAGTTCAGACCATCTGCTCACCTCATCATTAGAAACCTCCTCGTTCAGCACTGCATCAAAAACAAATTCATGCTTCTCCAAGTATTCTGTAAGGTCAACCTACAAAATGTCAAAAATTAAACATGTCAATGTATGTAGTATTTGGATAGACTAATACACCTATGCTACTATGCTAGATAAATAGTTGAAATGAGTATAAAAAAACAATTAACAAATGAAGATGGCATAAAAATGCTACAAGTTTTTTAATATGTTATGTCATGGCATAAAAAACAGATAATACTTCTTCCAAGAAGGATCAAAATAATCACTTGAAACTAGAAATACAAGTGAACAACCTTTGAGATTCCTTATTGATGTACAAAACTGCTGTTTAAAATAATTAAATGTGAAAACTGCATGTCATTGGTTCCATTCACAATTTTTTTTATTAGTTTACTTCAGGTATAAAACTGGGAAATACATATTTGAGATTTTCTGGGTTTATTTTGGATCGCTATGCTTTTATGTGACCTTTCTATTTTGGTGTAGCCTTGACCTTGTAGTGGTTAAAATAATTTAATTGTTACCTTAAGTTTAGTCTCATGAACTATTAGGGAGTTGGAAAGGGTCTCTATGATATCTTCCTCATTCTTTGCCAACTCCTTTTTATTGAGAGGTCTCTTGCGCACCTGCAATCAAAAACCCATAGAAACAGAGTGGTGGTGGTAGTAGCTTGATGTAAGATACTGGGACGTTGATCATTAATCTACTCGTGCAAAACATGTGATGCATGAATCACAAGATGGTAAAAAGAATCTACTGTGTTTGTTGGTGTTGCAATCCCTTTAGGTTGAAACAAGAGTAAACTATGAAGAGATAGTCGAAGGTAATCAGCAGAACAAAGACATACCACCACTTTGATCTTTGCAACTGAATTGACCTTCTCTTTGTCTGCAGCAAAGCTTTTGAGGAGGCCATTCTCTGGCACACCACCAGCTCTGCCTGTTTGTTTGTTATTTGAAATATAGGGTTCATTGTCATTAAAGCTTCCGCCTCGAACTGGATTATAGAGAGAAGAACCATTATACAGGTTGGGAACAGGCATCTGCTACCAATAAAAAAAATCATTAACATAAACAAGCATAAAAATTGAATTACTCATACGGTTGAATCTATTCTCTAAGAAACTATTCTCTGAAGTCTGAACTAATGATTCTATGTATACACCCCAAAAGAGAACTGATGATTTGATAAACTTATGAAGCCCCCATTCTTTATTTGTTTATTACTGGACTACTCCATCAATATTCAATAGTAGACGTGAAAAATAAATCCACTGAATTTAAAGAAGCAGTGAATGACCAACCTGAGGCAAAAGCTCTGTATCAAAAGAATGCAGATCCAGGAGACCAGGACTAATTTCATTGGGCGACTCTTCACCATTCTTCCTCTGGCTTGATTGCCGTGAACTAACTGGAGGACTCATAGGCTCAGTGAAAAAATCGTTCCCCATATTGAAATCCCTCTGCACATTCCTATAAATCCTAGACGCTTGTCCTCCTCCATCTCCACCGCCGTAGAATGAATAATCCTGTTCCCAATTCAAGCAGAAAAATAACGCAATCAAGCATTCAGATATTGAAGTAATAACTAAATTGCATTGAATGTTGATCCATAAAGATCCAGAAGTCAATCCTCCAATCAAAACCTTCCAGCATTACTTTTTACTCTTCCAAGTAGTACAGATTAACACATAATTTCTCTTTTACTTCTAGATCTTTTCATTTCCCCCCATAGGAAGTGGATTTCAGATCTACAAAAAAGAAAATTATCCAAAAAGAGAAAACCCCATTTTTGTTCCAACGAAATGGCATCTAAAAACCTATAAATTATTTTAGTACCAAAAAGGGGGTTTCCTCTCCAGCAATTCTACTTATCATTAAGACTAAAAATCATGTAATTATAGATCTATACAATTTTCTTACATTGTCCATTTTATACCAAAAGTAGTATGTGTGAGTAGATAGAAATTTTCATTTTGCGACATCTGCGAATTACCCGAGCCAAACACAATTCAGAAATCTAAAAAGAAAAAAAAGTACGATGACCTGAAGAGGAGGAATTGAGTTGTTAGAAGAGTGAAGATGCTGAAGACCAGCAGACTGAAGCCACCTTCCATTCGACGTCGTTTCCAAGAAGTTATCTGAGTATTGCCTCTGATGGTGTACCTGCAACCCCGACGCACCAGATCTCTTCCCCTGCCTGCCCATTCCGTTCATCTCCCACAACTCTCTCCCCGTTACTCAATTACTTATACTCGGAATCGATTTGTTTATTTAAAAACAAAAACAAAACCTGGAATGCTTCGATCCAAAGCTTCCCTTTCTCTGTCCTTCTTAAAATAAAATTATAAAAGGAAAAGAATGCACCCGATCACCCGATTTACAGTTAAATGGATCTTAACCGGGTATCTACCCAAAACAAAGAAGCTTCTCTCTTCTTTTTTTGGCTTTGGCTTTTGGTTACAGACAAGATTCAAAGGAGTGAAAAAGAAGATGACTCAGTCTGTCAGTGAGAGATTTTTTTTTATTTTTAATTTTGAAGACAAATTTCGAGACATGTGCGGCACGTGCCGTGTGGGTGAAAGGGAGCGAGAGACCTAAAACGGCGACGTATTGAGTTTTGATTGGGATAGCGGTTGATCCGGTGGGCCGGAAATTGGTACAGCGGATGTTTTCTTAAGAATGGGCCAATCAGCAACCAGCATCCCAAATGGTGGGACCCTGTAGAAATTAATCCGTTGCGAGGCCGGTTTTTGAGCCTTCTCGTTCAAAACTCCCACATTTGGAGGGATCCCTCTATCTTCCCCACACGTGTCACTATTAATTATAGATTAATAAATCATTAGATGGATATCGATCATTGAACAATATTAACTTTGTTCCTTCATTTTATTTTTATTTTTATTTATTCGTAAAAATTACATCATTTACTGATTTTCTATTAAAGTGTACGATTAAAGAATTTTATATAAAAATAGTTATATTTTATCTATAAAATATTATACTATATATTAATAAATTATTTAAACTATAAAATGTTTGCTTAGGTTATTTCTCTCGTATTTTATTCATAGTTAATAAAAGGAAACAGGGCAATCAAATTTGTGATATTCCCTATAACCATAAGCGTAAGAAATTAGTCATTTAAGATTATATAAAAAATCTAAAAAAATTCGAATAAAATTTAGATATGAATATATCTGACTACTACGTCAAACGAACCACAATATATTAAACTATTGAAGAACCATCGACAAATGTAAATTAGAGTCAAGCACGGTGAGAAAATTATCTACGAATACATGTTGCATATCCAAATCCAATTTGAGGATCAAATGTAGGAAATATCAATGGAATAATAAATTAACACCATCTCGATCAATCATAACACTGTCAAATCAATCCATAAGAAAAATAAACGACAAAAATAATCAAACAATCGAAAAAATAATAACATGTTGAAATACAAAGAAAAGTGTGATACAAAGATTAAAAAACCGTGCCACCAAAACAAAGTTATTAAAAATAAAAAGAATTAAATATATAAGATACAAAATAAAAAAAATATTTACGACGACGATTAACACTAAAACTGTTGTTATTGTCTATCAATCAAAATTATCTTAACAATCATTTAAAAATTATGAAAGAATAAGACTCAGTTTTATTAATCTTAAAATACCAAACAATTCAAATTTTAAATTTTGAAATATAATTTTTTTAAGTAGTTTAGAATTATTATAAGATAGTATATGTTTATAAATTTTTTAATCAATTGACAACACATATCATGTAAATATAATCGTTTAAACCCAAAATCTATTTTCTATTTAATAAATAAGAAAGGCTACTTATTCAATTCATAAAACTTAAATCTTAAATTTTGTTTATAATTTTTTTCATTATCAATATATTATTTCAAAATTATATATTATTGAGAATCAAAATAATTTGTTATTGTATATCAAATAATTATATTTTAGTTTAACAATTATTAGAAAAACAAAGCTTAACAAAATAAAAGCCACAACCTTTAAAATGTTTTTAATAATTAAAATTATTTATTAAATATTTAAATTAAAATTTAAGATAATATATCAAAGATAATTGAATAATGAGTGAAATAAATAAATGGTCATCTCTTATAGGGTTTTACTTTATTAAGTTTTTCGACTATTACAAATTATAGGATGATCTTCTGATTAGGTGATGTTTTATTGAATCCCTCATAATTAAATGTTACAAAATGATTATCCGACTACTCATGTGTTCTAAACATATCATTTTTATTAAATAATTATCAGTCATCTGAGCTGGATGTTAAACTGTTGATTAGTATATGATAAAATCTTATCACATAACCGTTTGAGATGTATTTTGTGGATTAATTCTTCGTTTATATTATGTCATCGAGTCAATATTGGAAACATTATGTAATTGAAAGCTATAAAGCTAGTATATATCATTAAAATATGATTTTATCATATTTGAGTCACCAGATTAACGTCTATGTCAGAAGGTCATAAAATTTTGGGTAAATTATATGATTGACTACTTAATTATAACCCTTTTTCATTTCGACCACCATTTTTGATTTTTTTTCAATCAAACCATCAAACTATTTAAATACATTTAATCAGGTCATTAGCCGTTAACAGTTAACGGAAGTGTTGACGTGGCAGTTAATGAAATTGATATAATTTACATTTCGTCCTTATTACTTACACAATCTATTAAATTTGTCATAACTTTAAATTAATTCATTTAAGAACTTTTATTAATTTAATTTAAATATTTTTTCTCTAATTAGATGGTAACACGTGGTACCATATGATGGAAGAAAAATAAATTGAAACAGACTTGTGCTTGGAGAGGGGAGGGGAATCAAACCCAAGACTACAAGGATGAAAATCAATGACCTTAATCACTGCTCCAAGATTGATTTTTGGTATAATGCTTACATCAACTAATATTTATCTTCTAATATAATGAAGACTAGAACTATGAAAATTGAAGCAACACTAAAATGACTTGATTCGAATAAATTAATATTTTAAAATATATTATTTATATTCAACCTGACCCACTCAGAAAATATATTGTTTATATTCGAATCGTCCCTACTTGATTCGAATAAATTAATATTTTAAAATAGTTAAAAATATACTTTTATTCGACTTACAGTTAAAAAAATCGACCCACCTAGAAAATATATTGTTTATATTCGAATAGTCCCGAATTGATTCGAATAAAATAATATTTTAAAATAGTTAAAAAGCATACTTATAATCGACTTATAATAATTTTTAAGTATATTTTTTGTATTCAACTTATAATTATGTTATAAGTATAAAATTAATATTTGACTTATATTTTTAAAAAATATTCGACCCACCCAAAAATATATATTGTTTATATTCAACTTATAATTATTTTATAAGTATAAAATTAATATTTGACTTATATTTAAAAAATATATTCGACCCACCCAAAAATATATATTGTTTATATTCAACTTATAATTATTTGATAAGTATATTTCTTAACTATTTTAAAATATTAATTTATTCAAATCAATTCATTTTAGGGTCCGTTTGGTTTACTGAAAACGTTTTCCGGAAAATAAAATCTGGAAAATGTTTTACAGAAATGTAAATCATTTTCCAGAAAACATTTTCCAGTGTTTGGATGGTACATTGTAAAATGTTTTACACTGTTTAATTAATTTTTCTGAAAACAGTTTTTAGAATATGTTTTTAATAAAGAAGCATACATATTCGATATGTAGTTTATGAGGCTTACAAGATCCATTCTTTCTACTTGTTAGTTCTTTAGACTTGTACAAGTTTATTCTTTTATTTGAGAGAGAAAAGCTTAGACATGATTTATTCTAGAGATGATATCATTTGGATTAATACATCAGGCTCGAGCCGAACATACAATGAAGTTGATTGCAAGGTTCTAGTATAATTAAAATGATTACATCTTTGCTTCAGCTACCCTGATTTTGAAGATTTTGCCTTCAAAATCTATGGAAAATGATAAGCAACAGTGTGCAAATTCTCCAGAACAATGATCTAGGGAAACAATAAAAGACACATGCATTTAACACCAAAGAGATATCCTTTATTAGAGACAACAAATATTAAAGAATGACTATTTGTACACTATGTTTAAAGCAGCAAAACACACAGAAATCAATGGTATATCATCATTCCAGTTTTCATTGGCATACAAACCATTTAATCGATTACATCATACGCATGATGCGCTGTTAAGGAAATGTGCCAATGCCTTGTCTGTCATTGTCATACATGAGTAATGCTTCGGCCACATTGTTAGCTGAGAATCCCATTTCTCGCAGTAGGATGTAGCCGGTGACAAATTCCCGAACCAAAGGAAGAAAATAAGCAACATAACGGCATAAGAGAAAGAAGATTCTTTAATGAACATTTTGAAAATGCCAGATGAATATCCAGAAGAATTGTTGAAACTACTCAAGCTAAAGCAATTGGACTGTCGCTAGGTTCTGATAACAAGTAAACTCATTAGGCTTTGCTAATACATTGGTGCGACAATATATGTCCACATACCTTGGTTGGATTGTCGCCATAATTTGCAACCGCAACCATCACTGCATCACGGCTGAGTCCAGAGGTAATGTATTTGCTCACCACATGGTCTGAATTTGCACCCTGCACATTCAAATCATTGTTCTTTTTCATACAAGATAAACCCTTAAAGCTCAACAAATATGAACTAATTCCATCAAAACAACATCATTAAAGACAACCCATCGCACATACAAGTTAAAATGTCAATGAAATACATAAAAGAAGGTCTAAAAATTGTAGTTGGAATGTGAATAACAGCGTACCATTGAAGAAGTGGTTTCGGTTGGCTTTGAAGCAAAGTTTTCAAAGCCAAGCTTGCTCCAATTCATAATTTATTTTTCCGCTTCAGCCAAGATTTTCCTCTCAAAATCGAAATCAAACTGGAAATTGCTTCGAGAAATATCCGCAACTTGAGGAGACAATTGAGGCTGCAACAAAATGGCAAATTGAAAAGCAACCGACTGGAAGCTTACCGGAGGAGTAATACGATACTCTAGTTTCAAAGCAACTCTAATGCCCAATCCAGCTGCCACAAAACATAATTAGGAAAAATGAAAAAAATAATTAAAAAAAAGAACTTTTTAGGAGATATAGTTTACATGATGTTGAAGGAGCAAAAGTCTGGTGGAAAGAAGAGGCTCGGGTTGCAGTAGGGAGAACGCCGTGAGCGGCGGATTGACCACCGACCCTTGGGTATAATGGAGCTCCGTACATCTTGGTGAAAGGGGAACCAGATGCACTTCTTGGTGAAAGGGGAGGAGCACTGCCAGCAAGAAACAAGGAAGGTAGAGCATTTCTTATCGATGTACTTCCAGATGAAAAAGGAGAAGATGAAAAGAGAGATGCCTGAGAAGACGACCGCCCGCCTCGCCGGTGAGAATGAGACCACTGAGTCGATCGATTTTCCGGTGTGGAGCAAGGGACAGGAGAACAAAGCTTCTTCTCGCTGTGGAGCAAGGGACTGGAGAAAGATGAAAACAACTTACCCTTTTCCAAACGGCAAGTGATTTTACCGTGTTTTCCTCTCCCTATTCCATTGACCGTAAAATAAAATCCGTTGACCTTAATATTTTACGGAAACCAAATACAGAAAAATGAAGAAAACATTTTCCGTAAAATATTTTTCCTAAACCAAACAAACCCTTAGTGTTGTTTTAATTTTCATTGTTATGATCTTCATTATATTATAAGATAAATATCATATAATGTAATCATTATACCAAAAACCAGTCTTGGAGCAATGGTTAAGGTCATTAAATTTCATTTAAGAAATCTTGGCTTTGATTCCCCTCCCTCTCCGAGCTCAATGTTGTTTCAATTTATTGTCCTTCAACTATGTGGTGTCACATGTCACCGTATGATTGGAGGAAAAATATTTAAATTAAATATAAATTACTTTAATAAAAGTCATCTAATTATATTGTGACACATGTCATCATATAATTGAAGAATTAAATATATTGAATTTATTTAAAATTATGATCAATTTGATAGATTGTGTAAGTAATAAGAACTAAATATAAATTATATCAATTTTATTAACAATTATGTCAGTACTTCCGTTAACTATTAACTGCCAGTGGCATGATTAAATGCATGTAAATAATTTGGTAGTTTGACTGACATGAATTTAAAATGGTGGTCAAAATGAAAAGAGATTACACATAAGTGCTCAATGGTATAGTTTATTCAAATTTTTAATGAAAAATGATGAGTTTGAAATATATGAATAGTCATGTGTTAATTTTATAACTTTTAATAATCAATAAACTTAATAAAATAACACTATATAGTCAAAAGATCATTTTATAACTTTTAATAGTAATGAGGTTAAAAAAAATAAAATTATATAATCGATGAATTATTTGTATATTTTACTTTTAAATAAATTAATAAAATATTTAGTTTAACTTAATAAAGTGTAAAGTCAAATAGTTATTATTTATTGAGATTTTCGATTAAAATACCCTAAATATTTGGAAACATAAATGTTCAATATTTAATATGAAATGATTGGAAGATACTAATAAGGTTGTACTTACCCGGTTTAGTAAAAAAAAATCAACGCGGAGTTTCCAACGATTTCCTCCGCAGATTAAAATGAAACAGTCGACCTTTGAATGCATTAGAAACTTCTCGAACTAACCAAACACCTCCAACGAGCCTTTTTTAGTTCCCTCCTTCAATCATTGTTATCAGAGCCTTGAAACCAAGCAAACAGTAGTACCCTCCCATTGAAGCAAATCCACAAGCATCTGGTAGCCATGGCAGAAGACGGAGCTGTAACACTCTACAACAACACTGCCATCACCGACCACAAGCAAAACCCGGTCTCCATCAAAGTGGGCCTCGCACAAATGCTCCGTGGCGGAGCCATTCTCGAAGTCTCATCGCCCAACCAGGCCAAAATCGCCGAAGAAGCAGGCGCCTGTTGTTTACTCGTCACTGAACCGAATCCCCGAGGCATCTCACGCATGCCGGATCTTGGTCTCATCAAACAGATAAAACGGGCCGTTTCGATCCCCATCATGGCTCGCTCCCGCGTTGGCCATTTCGTTGAAGCCCAGATACTCGAACGAGTCGGCGTCGATTACATTGACGAAAGCGAGGTTTTAGCCTTAGCCGATGAGGAGAATTTTATCAACAAGCATAATTTTAGGTGCCCCTTTGTTTGCGGCTGCAAGAACCTTGGCGAAGCGTTAAGTAGAATTAGGGAAGGAGCTGCGATGATTAGAACACAAGGAGACTTGTTAGGCACTGGTAACATTGTTGAAACGGTTAAAAACGTCAGGTATGTGATGGGTGAAATTAGGATCTTAAATAACATGGATGAAGATGAAGTATTCGCATTTTCAAAGAAAATTGCAGCCCCTTACGACTTGGTTGCTCAAACCAAGCAAATGGGGAGACTGCCAGTGGTTCAGTTTGCCGCTGGTGGAATCGTGTCTCCGGCAGATGCTGCATTGATGATGCAGTTAGGGTGTGATGGTGTTTTTGTGGGGTCAGAAGTGTTCGATAATTGCTTGGATCCGTATAAGCGTGTTCGAGGAATCGTGGAGGCGGTTAGGCATTATAACGATCCTCGTGTTTTGGTCGAGAATAGTTGTGGGTTGAAGGAGACGGCGGGGCTTAATGTCGGTGAGGAAAGGATTGAACAGTTCGGAGAATGAGGAGTTTGATCAAATAATGCATCTTCTATTTACTTCTTGTTGATGTTATTGTTGAGAATATGGGTTCACTTGTTTTAGTTTTGCTATGGTTATATTTATATATACTGTATTTTGTATGCTAAACTAATACAAAAAAATGAACTAGAATAAGTTGGTCATCAGTCTTTCAACATCGTCTTGTATGTTGAACTGTTTGAGGCTATATATAATGAAGGAATGAACTAGAATAATTGGTTGACCATTTTGTCAACCGCCTTTGTTCCCTCACTTCCTAATTGTCTGTGAGATCGGTTGAGTGGTTAGTTGCTCCAGTAATTACTGGTCCATAGAGTAATTGAACTAATCACAGCCCTTGTTAAGTTGTTTATTTTTTGTGTTATTAAACAATTGTTCTTTATTTTCGTTTGTCGTCTCTTTCTTTAGTTATTGCAAACGAAAAAGTTTGACCTTATATAGAGGAGACTTGGAATTATAATATTAGTTCCATGTGTTTACTATTCCAGTTCTGTACTTAGTAGGATCTTGTTGTTTGGGAAACCACTCACCTTTTGCTTATTGGGACTCGAGTTGTTTAATCAGCTTCTGATCCATACAGCAAACACAACTGACCATTGTTAACTATCCCATAGCCTTTGTATATGCCACCATCTGATTGACTTCTTTTTCCTTTAATGCAAATGATGCATGTTAATGTCTTCGAAGAGATGCCTCCTAGAGTGTTTTAGCAATTTGGAACATGATTTTGAAAGTCATTGCTATATTACGTTTTTGGTTGTTCATGTACCCCATTAATGCATCATATCATTAGCTTTTGTAAATGATGTTCGAACGTTACACTATATATGAATAATAGCCATGAAGATTGCAATGGCACCCTGTTAAGTTGTTCATTTTTTGTGTTATTAAACAATTGTTCTTTATTTTCGTTTGTCGTCTCTTTCTTTAGTTATTGCAAACGAAAAAGTTTGAGCTTATATAGAGGAGACTTGGAATTATAATATTAATTCCGTGTGTTTACTAGTACAGTTCTGTACTTAGTAGGACCTTGTTGTTTGGGAAACCACTCACCTTTTGCTTATTGAGAGTCGAGTTGTTTAATCAATTTCTGATCCATACAGCGAACACAATTGACCATTGTTAACTATCCCATAGCCTTTGTATGTGCTTCATTTATAAATTGCCACCATCTGATTGACTTCTTTTTCCTTCAATGCAAATGATGCATGCTAATGTCTTCGAAGAGATGCCTCCTGGAGTATTTTAGCAATTTGGAACATGATTTTGAAAGTCATTGCTATATTACGTTTTTGGTTGTTCATGTACCCCATTAATGCGTCATATCATCAGCTTTTGTAAATGATGTTTGAACGTTATACTATAGTCTATATATGAATAATAGCCATGAAGATTGCAATGGCACCCTGGGAACATCTTGCTACATGTAAGTTGTTAATGATGTCAGTTAAAGTATAGGATCATGTAGATTTTCTTTCGTATTTCAGTCTGTACCAATGTAAACAGATATGAGAAGTTCAAGAGAACACAATTCTTGGCTTATTTAAAAGCTTTTGAATTTACCTAATGTTGCTTAACAGCTTCCTCTCTCGATACTTGTGTGTTAACTGTGAAGATATTCATTTTTTTTCATTTTTATGTTATTATTATTATAATTATTATAATTATAATTATAATTATTATTAATATATTATTTAAAATTACAAGCCCAAATGGAAGCCCAATTACAAACTTGATGGCCCAAACCAACGAGCCCATAACAAACCCTAACAGATTAGGGTTTTCTAATTCCTCAGCCGCCATCTTCAATTCCAGCCGTTGGATCTGGTTTGATCCAACGGTCCACAGTTTGCCAGAGGAAACCCTAGGGTATCAATACCCTAGGGACACGTCCCACCGCCGCCGTTGCTGCTTCCAGAAGACTTCACCGCCACACCAACGTTCCAGCCTCCACCACGTCTACCAAAGAGTCCAGAAGGCCGGCCGTAGCCGCACACGTCTCCCCCAAACAGTGAGTCACCACTGGGAGTCCGGTGACTCACCAAAGGGCATTCTTCGGACCGGTCTGAGACGAACACCGGTGATGGCTATAAAGCCATCACCCCATCTGCAAGCAAGAAAAAAAAAAGGAAGACAGAGAGAGAGATACAAAGAAACAGAAAAGAAAGAAAAGAAAAAGAAAGAAGAGAAACTTACTGTCATCGGAGAACCCCAACCGCCACCGGATCTCGCCAGAACCTTCGAAACGCCGAAGGTATTTTTGTAGATTCGCTCCGATTCAGAGCTTTTTAAGGGAAGAGAACACCGGGACCGTCCTTAGGACGGTCCGATCTACCCAATAGTATAAAAATAAAATTTCCGGCCACCGGATGCGGTGGCCGGCGGTGCCGGTCACGGCGGCAGACGGTTGCCGTCCGGTGACCGGCTTTCCTCCGGTGAGGGAAGCTAGAGAGAGGGGAGAGCTTTGTTCATTCTCTCTCAGTTAGAGAGAGAATGAAAATTGAAAAATGAAAGAGATGGCCCGAAGGGCCGGCTGTCTTGGGCATTAAATAGCCCTTCCCAAACGACGTCGTTTTGGGGAGGGCTATTCGTGTAATTAAAGAATAGTTAAATCATTTCCGCAGCCATCTAAACTTGTAAACTTTACATTTTAGTCACTAAATCGAGTTTATAATACTTTTAATTCAGTCTTCGAATTTCAATTTTATTCATTTTAATCCTTTATATTAAAATAATATATTTAGGATAAATAACAGATTTAATCCCTTAATTTTAATAAATAATATTTTAATCCTTAGTTTATATTTTTAATTTATTTTATTCTAATATCCGAATTTTAGATAATTTTATTCTAGTCACTAAATAAATAAAATAAAGAAATAGCATGTCTAATCCTTATAATTTTGATTAATTATGAATTAGATTTTTAATTTTATTTTTACTGTAATTTAGTCATTTATTTTATATGTTTTCATTTATTTTACTGTTTTTAAAATATATTGTTTTAGTGGTATTTTTATTTTATTTGTTTATATTTTTAAATATTTTTTATATTCATAAATATATAATAATAATAATTTTTAAATATTTGTTTTTAATATCAAAGAAAAGGACAGTCTTAATACAACTGGATGTCCTATTCTGATATTTTAAAATTAAAAATTAAACAATGTTATTTAAATTAATATTTATCAATATCAAAGAAAAGAGCTGTCTTAAGGCACCTAGAAGTTCTTTTCTGATATTTTTAAATAAATAAATATTTTTTATATAATTTTGAAATAATAAGATTATAAATTAAATATATTTTTAAATTTTTAAAATTTTAATAATAGAGACAATTTATAATTAAAAAGTACCAATTTTGGGCGTTGTAGGGGTGTTAATCCTTCCCTAAACGTAACCGACCACGAATCCCTTTTTATTATTAAAAAGAACGAATTTTTGGTTATAAACGCAGATCAGTTCATTTTTTATTAGTGTTTTCTTAAAACTCTTTTAAAAAATAATTTTTAGGTATTCGACCTACCTAACCCAAAAAGGTCAATGGCGACTCCAAAATATTTCTAAAACACCATTTTTTATCCATATTACTTTTTCCAACCAAGTAAAATTTGTACCCGGGCAAAAACCGGTTACGACAGCTTGGCGACTCCGCTGGGGACTGGTCAAACTTTTAAAAAAAATCAATTATAAATTGTCTCTATTAATTAAAAATTAAAAATTCATATATTTAATTTTTAATTTTTTTTTCTTTTCAAAATTTTTATATTTAATTATTATTTTCATAATATTTACATGTTTTATTTATAAGTATTTTATTTCATTATTTATTTTGTCAGAGGTATGAATATTTCTCCTCACACACAACACTTGCATTGCATAACATAAAGCTCTATAATTGAGTTGTCCCTTTTAAGTGGGAGTGAAAGCGACGTCTTCGTGAGAATTTATTCTCCGTGTCAGACCTAGCAAGTAACTTCCGGGGTTCATATGCTCTCTGTCTTCGTGAGAATTTATTCTCCGTGTCAGGCATAGAGAAATGTATCCCCTCGAATTGAACTCGATCCACTTTAGTCTGTGATGGACTAGGATTGAGGGTTAGCAACCCAAGGGGGCACTAACAAGGACAATTCGAGTACCTTTATTCTTAGATCTGAAACCCTGCATATAAAAAACCTTAGAAACTCTTCCGATCAGAAGTCATGCCGAAATTTTGTCTAAAATAGGAGTACACACAGGAGAAATGAATTTTGACTTTCTTGTTAATTTATTTATTAATTAAATTACATGTTTATTTAAATTATTTAAATTTAGAAAAGCATGTTTAAATAAAGAATATTTATGTAAATGTTATTACTAAATTTTTTTATTATGTAACCTAATTTATTTTCTTTTTGTGTGTTCTTTATTTTTCTGTTTGCATTGCAACATACAAGATAAAAGACATTGATCCTTGTGTTAATTGTCTCATTGGAAAGCCTTCATCTATGGATAAAAAGTGTTCAAATCAAGTAATTCTAAACTCAGAAGTAAGACAGTGGGCTGAGGACTTACAAAGACGAGAAGGAGACAGCCTGCAGGATGATTATGTATCTGACTTGGCCAGTTATGCTCCAGTTTCACTAAAAAGAAATGATATGCAAGATTTGCGAAGCATTTGGGAAAGTTGGGATTCAAACAAAAAATTGCAGTTTTATCAGACTTACGGAGACATCCCATATTTGCTATATGTTGAAGTTGATGATGAATTACTCAGAGCCCTAATTCAATTCTGGAATCCAGGGTACAATTGCTTCACTCTCAATAAAGAGGACTTGGTCCCTACTATTGAAGAATACACAACATTGCTACATATTGAAGGGGTGTTGGAGAATCGAATCTATTCAAAGTCAATTAAAACTCAACCTTTTCGAGTTAAATTAGCAAAGATTGCCGGGGTACGAGAAGAATGGGTAGCAGCCCGTACAAAACAAAAAGGCGAAAGCGAAGGCATTGCTTGGACCAACATTAAAGAACTTATTCAGAGCCATCCAGACTCTAAAGTACGATTCGATTTATTTGCTCTGGGTATATATGGTATGGTCATCTTCCCAAAAGTATTGGGATATGTGTAAGCTGCAGTGGTAGATTTGTTTGAACAGCTACCGAAAAAGATTAATCCTGTTTCTGCAATCCTAGCAGAGACCTTCAGATCGTTAAATGCTTGTAGAAAGTTAGGAG